TATTATCTGTGTACATATTTTAACATTGCCCCCCCCCCATACATACCTCCCTCCCAGAGTTTTGTGTCCATTGGTTGTACTTATATGCATGTATACAAGTCCTTCGGTTGATCTATTATCTCCCCCAGATCTCCCTCCCGTCCCCGCTGTAATTTGACAGTCTGCTTGTTGCTTTACTATCTTTTGGTTCATCAGTTTATAATGTTCTTTATTATCCATAAATGAGTGAGGTCATGTGGTGTTTCTCTTTCATTGATTGGCTTATTTCACTCAGCATGATGTTCTCCAATTCTATCCAGGTTGCTGCAAATGATGAGAATTCCTTCTTTTTTTTATGGCAGCATAGTATTCCATTGTGTAGATGTACCATAGTTTTTTGATCCAGTCATCTGCTGATGGGCACCTAGGATGTTTCCAAATCCTAGCTATTGTAGATTGTGCTGCTATGAATATAGGGGTGCATATATCCTTTCTGATTGGTGTTTCTAGTTTCTTGGGATATATTCTTAGGAGTGGGATTACTGGGTCAAATGGGAGTTCCATTTTCAGGTTTTTGAGGAAACTCCACACTGTTCTCCACAGTGGTTGCACCAGTCTGCATTCCCACCAGCAGTGCACGAGGGTTCCTTTTTCTCCACAACCTCTCCAACACTTGTCGTTTGTTGATTTGTTGATGTTGGCCGTTCTGATAGGTGTGAGATGGTACTGCACTGTTGTTTTGATTTGCATCTCTCGGATAATTAGTGACTTTGAGCATGTTTTCATGTGTCTTTTGGCCTTCCTTCTGTCTTCTTTTGAAAATATTCTATTTAGGTCCATTGCCCATTTTTTATCTTTCTTTTACTAAGTTGTATAAGCTGTGTGTAGATGTTGGAGATTAAACCTTTATCAGTGGTAACATTTGCAAATATGTTTTCCCACACAGTGCGCTTTCTTGTTGTTTAATTGTTTCGTATTTTAATTGTAATTTTGATGTGGTTGTGGAAGGCATTTACCTATGCCACCATCTTGGTTCTAGCCAGTCAGTTTGGATTTGATGTTTCTTTCTTTTATAAATGTGTTTTCTAAATATTGTTATTGCTTTAATGAATTGCTACAGTCTCTTTTCAATTAATAAGACCTTTGCTATATATTTTTGTGTTTAATGCCTAATTACATATTACATTGTAATTATCAATATTCAAATTATGACTTACCACTTCATTTGTTATAAATCACTTGGCTCATTTGAAATATAGTTTTGGAGGAGAGCTTGTGGATACCCTGGACTGTCAGAAGGTCGAATCAGTGGATTCTAAAACAAATTATGCTTGAAATGTTGGTAGAGGCAAAAGTAACAAAACTGATGCTGTCCTGCTATGGGCACAAAATGTGAAGGCCAGTTTCTTTGACAAAGACAGTAGTTCTGGGGAAAAGAGGAACACCGATTATGAGATAGGTTAGCTGCATGAACAGAGGCATAGACATGAGTCCACAGGACCTGAGAAAGGATTATTTATGACAGGACATTGTGGACATCCCTCATTCATATGGTTTCCAAGAGTTGGAGCTGACTCAATGCCTTGTATTAGGTCTAGTAATAATTAATGTCGTTTTCTAATACTTTAAATCGAATTTATTTAAACAATACAACAAAATTTAATCAACAATATAGTTGCCGTTGTTTTCTACTACTTGTGCCCAACGCTCAGGAAGCATTTTAATCCCTCTGTTGTAAAATTCTTGTGATTTTGATGCGAAAAATTCGGTCAATGCATTTTTGAGGCATTCTTCATTATTAAATGTTTTTCCAAGAAGAAAGTTTTGCAAAGAACGAAACAAATGGTAATCGGAAGGGGCAATATCAGGAGAATATGCAGGTTGAGGGAGAACTTCCCATTCCAACTGGTGCAGTTTTTCAGCAGTGATTCTTGCAGTATGCGGTCGTGCATTATCGTGGTGAAGAATTACGCCCTTCCGATTAATCAGCGCGGGTTCTTTTTCTCTTAAAGCTTGGGCTAACCTTTCCAATTGGGCACTATACACTGCACTTGTAATGGTTTGGTTAGATGGTAAAAGTTCATAATGAAGAATTCCTTTAAAATTCCACCAAACACACAACCTGGACATATACTCTGCCTGGGAATCAAACCGTCAACTCCTGATTCTCAGATTGACACTCAACCAGTCAGCTACAGTCGCTAGGCTCTGTTGTTTGAATATACCAACCTCATTCCCTTTAGGCTTTTTTTTTTTTTTTTTTTTGAGGCAGGAGCTAGAATGCTTTTTCCAGTTTTTCCACAGTTGGATCCTTTTTGTCATTTCAGATTTCAGTGTAAATGTCACCTGGTGTCAGAGATATTCTCTGCTCACCAAAGAAAAGTAGCTATCTCTTTATCACTGTGTTGTCATTCTGGGTTTTTTTTTTAAATGCTCTCCTGAGGATATGTTTATTGATTTTAGAGACTGGGGGCGGAGCTGGGGGTTGGGAGTGGGGAGAGACAGAGTTAGAGAGATAGGAAGATAGACATCAAGGTGAGAAATGTTGATTGGTTGCCTCCTATACTCCTGACTGAGGATTGAATCTGCAACCTGTTTTGGTGTACACCTCCCAACCGAGCCACCTGGTCAGGGCTAACTTTGCTTTTAAAATAATTAAATTTAGCTTTAAAAATAAGTGAGAAATACTATTCAAAAATTGAGAAAATGCAACCAAATAGACCGTGGCAATTTCTCTATCCCTATGTCCCATCTGCCAAATTGATATTGTTATCTTTATCCTTCCAGAGGCTCTTCATAGCAACATAGGCAAATGACTGTATATATAAAGCTAGTAAGTGTTCTTAACCCAGTCTTTTTTTTTTTTTTTTTTTTTTTTTTTTTTTAAAGTGGTCTATGTTGCTTTATTCGAGAAAGAGGATTACAAGGGATTCAAGAGTTGGCATTAGGGCTCTTAGACCAGGCTTTAAGACCTGTGCAACCAGTTTCCTCTCATCAGATAACCTACTCCGTGAAAATGAGGCTGCCTTGTGTAAACCACTTCAAATTCCTATCCATCCTATCTGAAAATTACATACAATCTATATTCACCCGTCATTATTTTCCCATTGTTTTTTCTTGCTGTTTTGTCCCTGAGGTTAAGGTAATTCATGTTCAAGATTAGTTCTACTACCATCTATGCCTATGCCCTTATCCTCTCCATTTGCTAAAGACCTTATTTTCTTTCTTTTTTGGTTCTTTACTGTTAACTGTTTGCTGTCTCTTTGTCTCCAATACAGCCTTGCATATATAGTAGGTTTTCAGAAAATATTAATTGAATATAGCAGAGCGGTGAAGAGTTTGAACTATTGAGTTATCAATGCCTGGGTGTGCATTCTAGTTGTGTGGCTTGGGCCTGTTTGTTAGCATTTCTAAGCCACTTTAAAATGGGACAAATTTTATAGCTATATTAAGGGTTGTTTTGAGGATATACCTAAAAGTGATTGTGTTTATTTCCTATAGTTGTTGTAGCAAATTACAACAAACTTGAGGGTAAACAAGTTTACTTAAAAAAGCAGAAATTTTTTCTCTCAGTCTGGAGGTCAAATGTCAGAAATCAGTGATCCTGGACTCCTTAAAGTGTAAACAAGACCATGCTTCCTCTGGAGGCTTTGGGGGTAGAATGAGTTCCTTGCCTCTTCCACATTCTAGTGACTGCCAGCATTCCTTGGCTGCATCACCTAGTGTCCTCTAATCTACCTCTATGGTCGCACTGTATTCTCTTGTACCTATACTGTATTCTCCATTTAACTTTCTTTGATAAAGGCACATATAATTGCATTTAGGGCCCATCTTGGTAATCTTACATTTTAAATCTTTAATTATATTTTCAAAGACCCTTTTTTTTTTTGTTGTATTCATATAAATTAACATTTATAGGTTTTAGAAATTAGGATTTGATATCTTTGTGGGCCAATATTCAGACTAATACATGTAGAGTGCCCCCTCATATGTATACACACTTTTTAATTTTAATTTAAAAAAATATTTTTTTGTTTAAAGTATTACATGCACATATATCTCCTTTCCCCCCCTTGATCTTCCCCCAGCCTCTCCTACCCCCTGTCACATGCCCTCATCCTCTGTCACATGCCCTCATCCTACACACTTTGAATAATTATTAATTTCAGTAGGGTAAATTGTGAAAAGAAAGAAACACCAACTGAACTATCAGAAAAAAGTGTGTGTGGGGGGACAAAAAAGACGTAAAGCTCACTGCATAGTGCCTGGCAAGGATTTAATTTTAAGCTATCAAGATAGGGTCAAGAAAGATTTCAGATTTTTAAAAAAAATATGTTTTCATTAATTTCAGAGAGGAAGGGAGAGATAGAAACATCACTGATGAGGGAGAATCATTGACTGCAAAGCCCCCCCTGGGCACTGAGCCTGACACCCACGCATATGCCCTTGACCAGAATCGAACCCAGGACTCTTCAGTCCACAGGTGGATGATCAAACTGGCTGGGCAAGATTTCAGATTCTTACAAGGGTTTAATCATACAGCTACATGGGAGCCTGGGAGGATAAAAAACAGGTTTTTTTGTTTTGTTTTTGTTTTTTAAAGGTAAGGAAAATTAAGGACTGAATCATACCATTTTATTTAATACAGAAGGATAAATGTATAGAGCAGGGATTTTTATTATCAGATTTTGGTTATTTTCCTGCTCAAGTGTAAAAGGGTTTATATGTTTTCATGTTAGTTTTATAGAGTAAACAAATGGTGTGAAGGAGAGGAGGTGGTGGAACTGAAAATTGGACATTTACCTTTTATGTTGCTGAAAGTTCACACGTAAGCTGTATGAAATGATTAGTGAATAAACGAAGATTACAGAATGGATATCAAAATTTTCTGGGATATTATATAAGAATCATTCTCATTTAGAATGGAAAAGAAAGGGAACTTAAAAATAATTCCTTCAATTAGAGTAACATGAAATGTCATGTACTGGCCATTTATATTCTTTTTTCTATCTCCTTAACAGGTTCCTTGGCATGGACACAGGCTCAGTGGGAGGATTAGAACTGACTGATCAGACTCCTGTTTTATTAGGGAGTACGGCCATGGCAACTAGTCTCACGAATGTTGGAAATTCATTTAGTGGTGCACCTAATCCTTTAGTTTGTAGATCTAATAAATTTCAAAACTCATCAGTGGAAGATGATGATGATGTTGTTTTTATTGAACCTGTACAACCTCCCCCATCTTCTGCATCAGTGGTTTCTGATCAAAGAACCATAACATTCACATCATCAAAAAATGAAGAACTACAAGGAAATGATTCCAAAATTCTTCCTTCCTCAAAAGACTTGTCTTCTCAGAAGGGAAATGTTAGTGAGACAATTGTCATTGATGATGAAGAGGATATGGAAACAAATCAAGGGCAAGAGAAAAATTCCTCCAATTTTATTGAACCTCGGAAACCTCCTGAGACAAAAAACAGAACTAATGATGTGGATTTCTCCACTTCCAGTTTTTCAAGAAGTAAGGTAAATGCAGGAATGGGTAATAGTGGTATCACCACAGAACCAGACTCTGAAATTCAGATTGCTAATGTTACAACCTTAGAAACAGGTGTAAGCTCTGTGAATGATGGCCAATTAGAAAATACTGACGGGCGAGATATGAACTTAATGATTACACATGTAACATCACTGCAGAATACCAACTTGGGAGATGTCTCTAACGGACTGCAGTCAAGTAATTTTGGTGTTAATATGCAAACGTACACCCCATCTTTAACTTCACAGACCAAGAATGGAGTAGGACCTTTTAATCCTGGTAGGATGAATGTGGCAGGAGATGTTTTTCAGAATGGAGAATCTGCAAGTCATCATAGTCCTGGTAAGCCATGAGTGATAGTCCACCCCATGTAAATGAATTTGAACTTTGGCTGTTGATTTTTTCTATTGTAGTAATTGATGCCAACTTGGTTAGTTTATTCATGTAAAGTATATTCTATTGACTTCTAAGTTTGGAGTCTTCACTAATCAGAGAGTGAAATCACATATATTATTTCTCCATAATTATTAGAAAATCAATCATAAAATTATGTCTAATGGATTAGAAATACTTCTTATATTTCACCACTAAATTGTAACAATTTGACAATTTATTTGTCATGCACTCATTTTTTATTTATACATTTTTAGTTTTACTTGTGTTGTTTTACTGTGCAGAGAACAAAAAGATAAATAGCACACTTAAGGAACAATATAATATGATGTAATTGCATTTAGATTTGTTTTAGTTTCTTTGTTTAATTTTGACTACCTATCTGATTTTAATTTTTACTTACCAGCTGCTTACAATTTTTTATATTTGAAGGTTGAAATTTTATTCTGTGGGTAGCTTTACTCTTTGAAAATATTATAAGAATTCTGGATTTCTCACGATCATGTTTTGGGTATCACTTTCTCTTTCACCTGTACCCAAGCCTGTGTGTGTCTGACTCATTTTTTCATCATTTTAGGCTCATTAGCAACTTTGTCAGCCTAGGAATTGTGGAGAATAATAAGAAATGATTAAATCTTAGGTTGTGTAGAATCCTATATAATAAAAGCCTCATATGCTAAGTAGTCATTGGTCAGCTGTTCAACCAATCTAAGCGTAATATTCTAATGATATGATAAGGCCACTCAACCCCTCGCTATAACATGTGCTGACCATCAGGGAGCAGACACTCCAAACCATAGATTAGCTCGCTGCTGGGGTAAGACTGATTGGGACTGAGCGAGATGGGCCGGACACCCTGGAGCCCTTCATAGTTCCTCCCCAGCTGGCCAACCTCCTGTGTCCCGGCCCAGCCCAGATTGTGCACTGGTGGGGTCCCTTGGCCTGGCCTGCACCCTCTCTCAATCCAGAACCCTTTGGGAGATGTCAGAGAGCTGGTTTCAGCCCGGCCCCCATGCCAGCCAAGGGATCCCACTGGTACGTGATTTCGTGCACTGGGCTTCTAGTACTCAATGAAATGCTAGTCATTTTCGTTTATATTCTCTTTTTTGGTTATAATAGTAATGTCTAATTACTAGAGAATGTTTGAAAAATCTGTAATTAAAAAAATGAGGGAAAAAGTCCCTTGTAGTCTTATTAACTAAGGTTCATGCTCTGAGTGGATGTCTTTCAGTCTTTTTCCTTTATGGTTTTTAACTTGGTTGAAATGCAATTCTGTATAATTTTCTTTCCAATTTTCCTCCCATTTCTTATTATTCGATACATTGTATTTTCTCAAACCATTAACATATACAAAAGTGCATAATGAATGGGTATAAATATATCATACCCATACTTCACTTTTCCCATATTTACTATTATAGATCATAATGAATATCTCTGTTCAAACTTCTAATTATTTCTTTAGAGTATATTGTTCTGTCCCCTTAAAGATTTATGGCCTAAAATAGTATCTGGTTTATAGAGATTTTGAAAGAAATATATTTTTTATTATTCAGTTTTGAAAAATTTTCATCTTTTGAAAACCCTTGACGCCGTGTGTGTGTGTGTGTGTGTGTGTGTGTGTGTGTGTGTGTATTTATAGGGCATTTTTAAACTTAAAAAAATATATATATTTTATTGATTTTGTACAGAGAGGAAGAAAGAGGGATAGAGAGTTAGAAACATTGATGAGAGAGAGTCATCGATCAGCTGCCTCTTGCACACCCCCTACTGGGGATATGCCCGCAGCCAAGGTACATGCTCTTAACTGGAATCGAACCCGGGACCTTTCAGTCCCCAAGCCGACGCTCTATCCATTGAGCCAAACCAGTTTCGGCTGTAGGGCATTTTTAAGTTGCAGAAATATATTGTCATACTGCCTTCTTGAAAGTTCTTGCCAATTTATACTACTACCAGTTGTATATTGGAGCATCTTTCATTGTAACTTTCCAGCTCACATAAAATTAAAAGAAATGATAATGTTCCAATTAAATTTTAATTGGCTATTTTGTCTCTCTTGTAATTATAAATGTCTAAAAATATGAGTATGCGAAAGAAAAGAACATTCATTTTCGCCATTGAGAATGGTATATTAATTCTAATCTGAGATCCTAGTATAGGTATAGTTTTGCAAACTCTCCTCTCCTATACTACTCCTTTAAATACTTAGCAATAAATCTTGAACTTTTTTTAATTTTATTATTTTTTTATTTTATTTTATAAATCTTGAACTTTTGACTATGTCAAGTATATGTTTGATTTGTGTTAATTCTCTAGTGCTTAAGAATCTTGTTATTAATGTATCTGGGATATGGATTGCTTTAGGAATATTTCTGGTTAAAGAGACATAAGAGTTTGTTCCTCTTTACTCAAACTCTTACACAAGGCAATGTAAAGTACTCATCAGAAAAACTAAACAATACCTGCTCTTGAGTTTATGAATTAGCTCTTGTGTTTATTTGCTATTTTTATTTGTGATAGAGTTGTAAAATTTTGACTCTCAGACTGATTAAATTGCTATCCCCTGATGTGAAATGATTAGGTACCTTCTAGTTCTAAAAGTTTTTTGGTGTTGGAGGAGATGAAAATTGAAAATAGGGGAAATTTAAGTGCTGAAAAATAGTTAAAGGGAGCCATTACATTATTTATGTAGGGCCTAAAATTAATTTGAAAATAGAAGCACCAGTTTTTCAAAATCAAGTTAATAGGATGTTTTTAAGTTTAAATAGATTCCTTTAAGTATATATGGAAATGATTAGAAAACAAAATTGAAAATTCTAGGGAGTCAGAATTTGTGTTGCAAAAAGCTAGTCCTTCTAGCATAAGTTCAAATATAGTTTTTGTTTGAAGACCTCTCAGAAGGTAGAATTGCCATTTCTTTCAGTGATTTACTTTCTTTGTCTTCAATGTTATTGTTACCCATTTATTAAAACAGTTCAGTTACCCTGATGATAGCAGGATAACAGGATTCCAGATTGAACTCTATTTATTCTTTGTATAAAATATATGTTTTTTGGTGGTGGAAGGGGAATTGTGGAATAAAGTAAGATTTGAAAAGCACTGTATGCAGCCTGTTGAAACCATTAGGTTGTGGACTTTGTCAACAATATGAAATAGCCTTCTTCAGGTTTTTATAGTAAAGAAGTTTCCCTGCCCCATTGGTGTGACTCAGTGATTGAGTTCACATTTGAACCAGGAGGTCACATTTCACTTCCCTATCAGGGTCCATTCCTGGGTTTTGAGGTCTAATAGGGGGTGTGCAAGAGTCAGCCAATTAATGATTCTCTCTCATCCCTGATGTTTCCTTTTTTTGTTTGTTTTGTTCATCCTCACCTGAGAATATTTTTTCCATTAATTTTTAGAGAGAGTGGAAGGGAGAGGGAGAGACAGAGAAGCATCGATGTGAGACAGACACATCAATTGGTTGCCTCCTGTATGCACCCCCAGTTGGGGTGGTAGATTGAACCTGCAACTGAAGTACATGTCCTTGATGGGAATTGAACCCAGGACCCTTCAGTCCACAGGCTAATGCTCTATTCCCAAAACCCAACTAGTTGGGACTCATTACTGATGTTTCTAACGCTTTCTCCCTTACTCTTTGAAATCAGTCAATATATCTCTCTCCATACATATCTTCCCATTTAATAAAGAGTGAATGTGCTAATACACCTCCATGCCCTCAAATATGATGGTGCCTACAGCCACAGTTTGGTGCTACTGGTGTCACCAGTTTCCTCAGCCTTGTTGGGGTGGCAGGCATGTGACATGGCAGGGCCCACTTTCCTCCAGAGTCCCTCATTCCCTCAGCCCCCCAGCCACCCTGGGCTGTCCCGAAGCACAGGCAAGCCTTAGATGGCAGCTGCCTAGCCGCCCAGGGCCACCTGAGGCTTAGGTAAACAGGGCTTGCCAAAGCTTACACTGGTGGTAGTGGCAGCAGCAGAGGTGTGATGGGATGTTGCCTTCCCCTGATAGCCGGGTCACCTCTTGTACTGGAGGGCTGCTGGACTGTGAGAGGGGTCAGGCTGGGCCGAGGGACCCCACCTCCATTGCATCTACACTAATAGAAGAGAAACATGCAAATTGACCGTACCTCTGCTATGCACACAAGCCACACCCACCAGCCAATCAGTAGTGAGTATGCAAATTAACCCACCCAAATGTCTGTGGCCACAGAGCGAGCAGGAGGCTTGGGTTGCCCTGGCAATGGAGGAAGCCAAGCTTCCCTCCTGCTCTGGCCAGCCCTGGCCTCTGCTCAAGGCTGCAAAGTTTCAATTATAGAAGATAAATAAATCCTAACAAAAGTGGTGTCAGCCATAGAGCTGCAGATAGCAGGAGGCTTGGGTTGCACCCAGCGATGGAGGAAGCCAGCTCCCCCTGCCCCCTGGCCTGCCTTGGTCTCTGCTTAAGGCTACAAAGTTTCAATTATAGAAGATAAACAAATCGCAGATACTAGGGCCTCCACTTGGGTTGCTTGGGGGTTTGGCCAGCCTGCGAACCATCACAGGCCCCTCACCCAGGCTGCCCCACACCCCAAGGGAACCCCCACCCTGATCTGGGATACTCTACAAGGCAAACTAGCCAGCCCCCACCCATGCATGAGGCCTCTTATCTAATAAAAGAGTAATATGCAAATTGATCACTCCAACACAAAAATGGCTGCCCCCTGTGGTCAAAGATGGCTGCCCCCATATGGACACAAGTTGGCTGCCAGAGGATGGCTAGCAGGGGTGGGCAGTTGAAAGGGACCAGGCCTGCATGGGAGGGCAGTTAGGGGTGACAAGGCTGGCAGAGGAAGGAAGTTGGGGACAACTGGGCCCTGCAGGGAAGGGCAGTTGGGGGGACCTAAGCCTGCAGGGGAGAGCAGTTGGAGGGGGGACCAGGCCTGTAGGGGAGGGCAGTTAGGGGCAATCAGACTGGCAGGGTAGCAGTTAGCTATCAATCAGGCTGGCAAGGGAGTGGGTAGGGGTGATCAGGCTGGCAGGCAGGTAGGCAAGCGGTTGGGAGTCGACAGTCCCGGATTGTAAGAGGGATGTCCGACTGTCCAGTGGGATCGGGCCTAAACGGGCAGTTAGACATCCATTGAGGTGTTCCAGATTAGAGAGGGTATAGGCTGGTCTGAGGGACACACCACCCATGCACGAATTTCGTGCACTGGGCCTCTAATAATCATATATAAACATACCTATATTATATTCATCAAAGATTCTTGTTAGTCAAGATTTTATGTATTTTTGTGTTGATGTATGTTTTCCTTACTTAAAGTAATACTCTGCAAATTAATTCTTCCTGTTTAAAAACTAAAGGCTAATATTTTTAGTGCTTCCTATATGCTAGTTATGGTTTTTTCATTTTATGTTAGCGTTAATATTATGTTGGTACCATTTTCAGTTTAGAGAAGAGTTAGGCACAGAGTTTAAGTAACTTCCAGGTCTAGTAAGTGATGGAACCTGAATGTGAACTACTAATTTTAAATTTTTTATCCTCAGGAGTGAGAATATTTTTCCCCCATTGATTTTTAGAGAGAATGAAGGGAGTAGGGAAAGGAGAGGGAAGATAGAGAAAGTAAGAGAGAGAGAGAGAGAGAGAGGGAGGGAAGGAGGAAGGGAGAGAGAGGGAGAGAGAGAGAGAAACATTGATGGGTAAATCGGTTGCCTTCCACTGAGTCCTGATGGGGAGGGTGGAGTGTATGGACGAGACCTTCAACCCAGGTATGTGCCCTTGACTGGGAATCATATACGAGACCTTCCTGTGTGCTGGCCAACGCTTTAACCACTGGGCCATGCTGGCCAAGACTCAACCAGCTATTCTTACTTCAAAACTTGTGTTCATTACCTCTCCTATGCTGTTGCCTAATTAATGTCTTACACTTGTATAAAATGAGAAATTTAAAACTGTTTCTCTGATACACATTTCAGTGTATGAAAATACTTATTTCATTGCTCTTTCTTGTGCATTTTGTTTTTAAGATTCTTGGATTTCCCAATCAGCTTCATTTCCTCGAAATCAGAAACAGCCAGGGGTGGATTCTTTATCACCAGTGGCCTCGCTTCCTAAACAGATTTTCCAGCCTTCTGCCCAACAGCAACCCACCAAACCAGTTAAAGTGACTTGTGCAAACTGCAAAAAACCTTTACAAAAGGGACAGACAGCTTATCAACGAAAAGGATCTGCTCATCTCTTTTGTTCTACCACCTGCCTTTCCTCCTTCTCTCACAAGCCTGCTCCAAAGAAACTGTGTGTTATGTGTAAAAAGTAAGGTTTACTTTTAAACATAATTCCATATCGTAGAAGATTTCTGGAAAACTGTTAGAGACTAAGAGATGAATTACTCTATTTTTAAAATTGATAAGCAAGTTGATTGAATCTTAGTCAAAGTGAAATTTGTAATGATTTGTAGGGTTCTCTATCAAGCCCAGGTAGCTTATGATTAAAAGGCTTTCTATTTTATAGGGTTTGGTGTAGATCTTATAGATAATTTTTTCTATAATCTTCATCGACTTCTTGAATTTGTAAAAATACATCTATTTTATTAATTAGATATAATTGTTAGGCAGTTTATATATGGTTAGTCCTGTATTAAAATAGTTATGTGTTTATGTGTTTTTAACATTAAGTCATTAGAATATTCACTGTTTCAAATCTAGGTAACCAGTTTTCTGACAGCCTTGGAAAAATAGGATACTCTCTTTTGCCAATTTTTTGGTCTGCCTTCACTAGTTAAAAATAAGTGGGATATGCAAGGTCAAACCAAGTGGATTTTCTTGTGCCATGTCTTGGAGCAGCCCAAATTTGTGAAGATATTTTTGATCTTAGAATTTTAGAAATGTCTTAGTGCTCCATACAAGTTTAATAAAGTCAAATATAGGGATAATTGTTATATAATGTTTATATTACTTTACAGTAGTAATAAAAAGACATGCTTAATATAGGATCTTGAAATTGAGAATTGAAGGAAAATGGTTATCAGTATTGTAATTTCCTAACATTTAAAAAAAGTAAGTTTTTATCCACTTTTAGAGAGGAAGGGATAGGGAGAGAGAAGCATCAATGATGAGAGAGAATCATTGATTGGCTGCCTCCTGCATGCCCCCTACTGGGGATCTAGCCTGCAACCTGGGCATGGGCCCTTGACCAGAATCAAATCTGGGGCCCTTCAGTCTGAAGGCTGGTACTTTGACCTTTCAGCCAACTGGTTAGGGCTCATTTCCTAACATTTCTAATTACAGTTAGAGAGCTGTATAGAAAAGTAGGTAGGGTTATTTTTATCATGTTCCTGTGATTTATATTTTATTTTTTTATTTTATTTTTTTAAATATATTTTATTGATTTTTTTTACAGAGAGGAAGGGAGAGAGATAGAGAGCCAAAAACATCGATGAGAGAAACATCGACCAGTTGCCTCCTGCACATCCCCTACTGGGGATGTGCCCGCAATCAATGTACATGCCCCCCTGACCAGAATTGAACCCGGGACCCTTAAGTCCGCAGACCGACGCTCTACCACTGAGCCAAACCGGTTTTGGCATGTTCCTGTGATATAGATATCTCATGCTTTCTACTTACCCAAGTGAGGGGAATTGATTAGGTATTGTAAATTTATTATAACTCAATAAATTTGGCCTTGACATTAAACTCTGTATAAATAATAACAGCCATTTTGTTTTTTAAAATGTTACCAATATCAGAAAGCCTTGTTAAGGAACTTGAGAAGGATAAATTAGGTGTAATGCAAGGATTTAACAATATAAAATAATTTGTATAGAAATTAAAAATTTCAGTTATTATTGTTTGATTTTTTGTTGTTGTTAATCCTCACCAAAGTATGTGTGTGTGTGTGTATTTAAAAAATATATTTTTATTGATTTTTAGAGAGGAAGGGAGAGGGTGAGAGAAATAGAAACATCAGTGGTGAGAGAGAATCATTGATTGATTACCTTCTGCACATCCCTATACTCGGGATTGAGCCCAGAACCTGGACATGTGCCCTCATTGAATCCTGACCTCCTGGTTCATAGGTTGACGGTTTGCCACTGAGCAATACTGGCCACACACCAAAGGATATTTTTTCCCCCCATTGATTGTTTTAGAGAGTAGAAAGGAAGGATAGAGATAAGAGAAACATGGATATGAGAAACACATTGTTGGTTGCCTCCTGGGACAGGATCAATCCTGCAATGGATGTACGTGCCTTTACTATAATCGAACCCGTGACCCTTCAGTCCTCAGACCAATGCTCTAACCATTGTGAAAAACTGGCTAAGGCTGTTGACTATTTCTTAAAATGGAATTTTGCTTTAAGTTGTTTCTTTTATTTTCAGAGATATAACTACAATGAAAGGAACCATTGTTGCTCAAGTGGACTCAAGTGAGTCCTTCCAGGAATTCTGTAGTACATCTTGTCTGTCTCTCTATGAAGACAAACAGAATCCTACTAAAGGAGCTCTAAATAAATCAAGATGTACAATTTGTGGTAAACTAACAGAGGTTTGTACTTTTGTGCTTTATCACTTGATTTTAACTACTGGAAATATTTTTAACTTTATATAACAGTTATAATCTTTCATCAGTGTGTATGTTAAAAGTGAGGCTATATAAAAATGGATCTGATGAGTATCCCATTATGTAATCTCATTCTCACCTAGTGAGAATAATTTAGGGAAAATTAAAATGTAATATGAGTTGACTTTTTTCCTGAGGTTGGGAGAACTCAGAGACAAACAGCATTGTTTAAATCAGTAGGCTGACTAAATAAGGCAACCATCTTGGTTAAGAAGTAGAACTAAATATGTTTGATAACTTCACATTGTTAATAATTAAAAAAAGAAACTTGTGTGACCATACCTCATTTGAGTAATTTGTAATAATGGTTCTTTTTCCTCCCTTTTCTAAAGTAGTGCACTTATTTATAGTTCCTTTGGGATTTGTCTGAAGATTTCCAATGTCTTTTGAAGTTTTATATCAGCAATATTCAAACTGGGTTATTTTGTATTATTTTTAGATATCTCTAGAGAACTTTGTAGTTATGTCACTGGTGGTCCTCTCCACACCATACATGTATTCCTTGAGTGTATTAAAATGATTCAAGGAATAATGAAATATGTTTTATTTTTCCTTTTCGCTTAAGCTTTTCACTAAAATGTTGAGACTCTCCCCCCCCCCCCCCCCATGGGAGTACCTTGTTATTTAGCTACTGTCATAATCATTTGTTTTATAAAATTTTGTTTTTCTTTTAGATTCGCCATGAAGTTAGCTTTAAAAATATGACTCATAAGCTGTGTAGTGACCACTGCTTTAATAGATACAGAATGGCTAATGGTCTGATAATGAATTGCTGTGAACAGTGTGGAGAGTACCTGCCCAGCAAAGGTGCTGGAAACAATGTCCTGGTGATTGATGGTCAGCAAAAGAGATTTTGCTGCCCAAGTTGTGTCAGTGAATACAAACAGGTAATTCTTAACCTGATCACTTAACCCACTACTCTAAAACACACACACACAACCCTGCCATTCTTCTGAACGTGTTTTAAATGGTTCTAATTGTTTTACTTGAATAGCATTTATTTACCAGATTTTTCTTTGACTCTCATTCCATTATGGTCTTCGTGTCTTGGAAAAGACCTATCTTAAACGAATACTATAAATATAAATATAATTAAATAGAAATGTGTGATTTTTATATAAAAAGGTAAATGCTATAAGAATTACTCAAGAATTACTTCTCTTTAAAATATCTTGCCTTTATTTTATTTTCTTGCTTGCTTACTTATTTATTTTTCTTTACCTGAGGATAGCTTATTGATTTTAGAGGGAGTGGAAGGAGAGAGAGAGAAGGGGGGAGGAGAGAGAAGGAGAAACATTGATTAGCTACCTCCCATGTAAGAGAGAGAGAGAAAGAGAGAGGAGAGAGAGAATGAGTGACAGAGAGAGAGAGAGAGACATTGATTGGCTGCCTCCCATATGCACCCCAATCAAGGATCAAACCTGTAGCCTTTCTGGTGTATCGGATGATGGGATAATGCTTCAGTCAACTGTCCCTTCTGGCTGAGGCATGATTTCTCTTTTGAATTTTCTTTATTGGGTGGCTGCAAGTATGATTTCTCTTTTCTTCTTCTTCTTCTTCTTCTTCTTCTTCTTTTTTTTTTTTTAATCCTTACTGAGAACATTTTTTCCATTGCTTTTCAGAGAGAGTAGAAGTGAGGGAGAGAGCAGGAGAGAGAAAGAGAGAAACATTGATGTGAGAGAGACACATCAACTGCTTGACTCATACTTGATTGGAGGGCAGGAAGTAAATCTGAAACTGAGGTATATGCTCTTTACTGAGAATCGAACCCTTGATTCTTAGGTGTGCAGGCTGCCACCAACCATCGAAAGACGTTAGTCAGGGAGCAAATAAGATTTTTCACATTGTTAAAGCTTAGCTTAGGACTGATCATCTCACTTAGTTTTCAGTTTTAAGGTTAATTAAAAACAAATCTATATTTTTGTAAGTATTTCATATATCCCCTTTGTTCCTCTTTGACCCCTTCTAAGTCCAACCCTCTCTCCGCTTCAGGCCTTTATCATCTGTTGTCTGTGTTCATGGGTTATGCATATTGAATATGCATACAAATTCTTTGGTTGATCACTTCCCCCACATCCTCCTCCACCTTCCCTCTGAGATTCTGTAGTCTGTTTTATTGCTTTTTTGTTGCTGGATCAATTTTGTTCATCAGCTTATTTTGTTCACTAGATTCCACATATGAGTGAGATCATGTGATACTATTTTTCTTTTATTGGCTTATTTAGCTTAGCACAATACTCTCCAGGTCCCTCCATGCTGTCTCAAAGAGTAAGAGATACTTCTTTTTTATTACTGTATAGGATTCCATGGTATATATGTTCCATGACTTTTTTATCCATTCTCAGTGTTGGGCACTTGGGCTGTTTCCAGATCTTAGATATTATAAATTGTGCTGCTATGAACATAGGGATACATACATTCTTTCTGATTGGTGTGTTGTGTTTCTTAGGATATATTCCTAAAAGGGATTACTAGGTCAAATGTCAGTTGCATATTTAATTTTTTGAGGAAACTCCATACTGTTTTCCATATTGCCTACACCAGTCTGCATTCCCTTTTCTCCATATCCTCACCAGCACTTGTCATTTGTTGATTTGTTGATATAGCCATCTAATAAGTGTGATGTGACACCTCACTCTCATTTGAATTTGCATCTCTGTGATGATCAATGACTTTGAGCATCTTATGTATATAAAAGGCTAATATGCAAATTTTCCCCTCTGGAGTTCGATCACTTGCTATGACATGTGCTGACCAACAGTGGGTAGCCTGGAACGAAGGATGACCCCAACTGGAGGAATGCCCCGGCCAGCAGAAAGAAGGCCCTAATTGCCCCTGATTGCCAATTAGGCCTAGGGACCCTACCAGTGTACGAATGTTGTACACGGGTCTCTTATCTATTTATATAAAAGCCTAAGTGACTGGCCAACTGGCTGACTTGCTGACCATCTGACCAACCAATAACTATGATGCGAATTGACCATGAGGGGACAGATGCTCAATGCAGGAGCTGCTAAGCTGCACTCATTTGGCAGCTGTGGTTCTCGGTTAATGTACTGAGACTGGAGAGGAGGGAGTCTGATTATGGGTTGCATCATCGAGATCCACCTTCTCAGAGCCAGTTTCAGCCCAATTTCTGCTGGCCAGACTGAAGTACCCCACTGGTTCACTAATCTGTGCACCAGGCCTCTAGTTTAAGTATAATATGCCAAAAATCAAGTACAGGTCAAAGTGGAAAAAAACATGTAGTGTGTGTGTGTGTTTTCTCTTATGTTCAGTACTAATTGTATATTCAAGAACATTATGATCGATTTAATTAGGGATATATATATATAGTAATAAAAGTATAATTTGCAAATAGACTGAACTGCAGAATGACTGCCCAGACCACCTTTCGGATGGCCACACTATGACACGTACTGGCACCAGGTCAACAAAGGCCGGTGCAATGCTATTGGTTGAGGAACCCTGCCATCACCCCATGATCGACCCACAGAGGAAGGCCTAGCCAGCCAATCTGCAGGGTGATCAATGGTGGGGGTTGCTCTGCGATCCATTGCCCCAAAGAGAGAGGCCTGGGCCACTGGCCTATAGGGCGATTGATGGCAGTTGTGGGGAGGCCCAGGCAACCCTCTGTGCAGTGATGGACCGAGGAGCCAAAACCAGGTGGGCTCATGGAGTCCTGCAATTGATCGCCCTATAAAGGGAGGCCCAGGCCACCTGGCCGGTGGTGCTGTGGTAGGTGGATTGGGCCTCCCTCTGTGAGGCGATTTATCTGGGGGCCCCATGATTGATTGCCTCACAGAGGAAGGCCCACGCCAGCCAATCAATTGCACCCCACTCCTGTCACCCGCAGAGCGAGATGACTGGTGGCAGGGAGGGTGGGGGGCAGTGCTGCACAGATAGCAAGTAGTGTTGGAGATGGTGCCAGCTGCCGGCAGCCGGGGGAAGGAAAGCCCTGTTAGGCCCTGATTGCTTGCCAGGCCTAGGGACCCTATTCAAGGGGTCCCAGATTGTGAGAGGGTGCAGGCCTGGCTGAGGGACATCTTCCTTCCCCCTCCCCTATCCTGTGCAAGAATTTAATGCACTGGGCCTGTAGTCTCTCTCTCTATATATATATAAAAGGCTAATATGCTCAGTGCCCGCCTAGGTAATAACTTCACATAGCAACGCTTGGCTTCCTCTCCTAGCCTCTTTGCAGTTTCTTCAGCTCAGGAGTACCACTTGCTTCATAGTCAGGTGGAAATACTTTACACTGTAAGCAAATGTCTGTGAAGCATTTTCCCATGCCTCATCTCATTTGATCCTCACAGAAGTCCTGGAGTAGGTAGATAGGAGACTTGATGGAATCTGATTTTCTTTTCATTAGCTGGAAAATGGAGATTTAGAAAGCTTAGAAACTTAAACTGCCTGAATAGAAATAAGAAATAGTGGACCTTGAAAATGACTTGAGGTTTTCTCACTGTGCAGAATATATTCAAACACTGCTGAGTTAAATATTTCACCCTTTGTTCTCCCTGTGTGATCTATAATAATAATAATCTGCTTCATGTTGATATTTACTGCGATGTTACTGACAATTACCTGAAAGAGATGTTGGAGTGCTTCACTGGGCTGGGAAAAGTATGGCTACATAAGAAAGCATGTCTAATTGAGCAGGTTTGTTCTATATCTATAAAAGGCTAAGTAAAAGGCTAAGTTGACTCACACATGCACGATACATATAAAGCTCTCACTGGTGCCAGTGGCACGCATGGGTTTTGATCTGTCATTGTCAGTTGTGAATTTGGTTGACACTTCTAATATAGAGAAAGGATGAATAGCAATATTAAAATATTTCTTGTAATTCATTTCCTTTCAATGTGCACGAATTGGTGCACTGGGCTACTAGTTTTTTCGTATGTGATCTGTATGTCCTTTTGGAAAAATGTCTATTTAGGGCCTTTGCCCATTTTTTTAATTGAATTATTTGTCATCCTGTTAAGTTGTATGAGTTCCTTACATATATTGGATATTAACCCTTTATCAGATGTATTATTGCCAAATACATTCTCCCATACAGTGGGTTCTCTTTTTGTTTTGTTTATGGTTTCTTGCTGTGCAGGAGCTTTTTTATTTTGATGTAGTCCCATTTGTTTACTTTCTCTTTAGTTTTCTTTGCCCTGGGACAGTGGTTGGCAAACTCATTAGTCAACAGAGCCAAATAACAACAGTACAAGGATTGAAATTTCTTTTGAGAGCCAAATTTTTTAAATTTAAATTTCTTTTAACGCCACTTCTTCAAAGGTGGTATTTTGTGGAAGAGCCACACTCAAGGGGCCAAAGAGCCACATGTGGCTCGCAAGCCGCAGTTTGCCGACTACAGCCCTAGTAGATGTATCTGTAAACATATTGCTACGAGATATGCCTGAGATTTTTCTGCCTAAGGTTTCTTTTGAATATTTATGGTTTCACGACTTACATTTAAGTCTTTTATTCATTTTGAGTTTATTCTTGTTAATGGTGTAAGTTTGTTTCATTTTTTTGTATGTATTTGTCCAGTTTTCCCAACATCATTTGTTGAAGAAATCTGTCCAGTTTTCCCAACACCTTTTATTTCCCAATACCATTTTTTGAAGGATTCCATTGTATACTCTTGCCTCCTTTGTTAAATATTAATTGAGCATAATGGCTTGGGTCAATTTTTGGGGTCCCTGTTCTGTTCCATTGATCTATATGCCTTTCTTTTGATAGTATCAGGCTGTTTTGATTATGGTAGCTTTGTAGTATAACTTGAAATCTGGTATTGTGATTCCTCTGACTTTTTTGTTTTCTCAAAATTGCTGTAGTTATTCGGGGTCTTTTTTGATTCTATGCAAATTTTTGAAGTATTAGTTCTAAATCTGTG